TGGGTGGGATGAGATTTAGATCCGGTTGTAACACAAAACCCAGAGCATTGATTTTCCGTGGCAGATTTTGGACAGAGACAGACTCATAGAGCGATACTTACAGCTGGTGGACACTGCAGTTGTAAAACTGATCTCAGTGCTGATGAGCATCTGACCGGTCTCCTTAGAGTTGAGCCTCAGCTCAACGCCTGACCAGTCTGAAAGAGAGGAAACGAGAACCCCCCCCCCCCCCATTGAGTTATTGTTACGTCACAGTAAAATCACGACTCCAGCTCAGGTCTAGTGTCCACAAATGTAGCGCTGCAGCGGTAGTCAGCTCAGAAAAATCATTGATGGGGATTTTTTTATCGTTGAAGCATCATAAAAAGATCCTTCAATAAAACGCTCTAAACATAAAGAACCGATAATTGGTTTCTGCAACAGCAATGCTCTACGAGACCTCTGGCAGCAGCAGCACGCAGCAGCAGCAGCAGCAGATACTCAGTAACACGGTAACACCCAGCAACATCCGGGTTTTACTCCTCATCATTTTCCCTTTCTTATTTGTGTGTTTACAGGTTCTGTTCTGTTCCCCTATGTGCACATCACCTTTGACTCGATGTTGCGTGTCCTTTTGTTTTCAGTGTATTCCTCAGTTTCATTTGTAAGATCCTGTTTTTTGAGTTCAGTCTAGTTTACTCCTCTCGTCCGCGTTCAGGTTCTCTGTGTCATGTCTTTGCCCCATTTTATGCTAGATTATATTATTTTTCCAAGTCTGTTTATTTTAGATTCACATGTTTAGTTCTGTAGTCCATCTCTGTTTGTAGTTCTTATCTTTCTTCTCTAGCCATGTGTTCTGGTGTTGCCCCCTGTGCTCAGTTACCAGTTTATTATTGCAACACTGCAGCGCTCATTGGGGCCCCGGGGGTCTGGTTGTGTCAGTAGGAGGTGGGACTCGGTCTTCCTGGCCAGGCAGGGACACAGTGGCCTCCGAGATGGGTTGTTTTTGTTGGGAAGAACCCGGATGGGAAGTTTTAATGTGGGTGTGACGACCCTCGTCCCCTCGGTCCGTCCTCTCATTTTCCCTGAGCCCGTTGTCCCCACTGCGGGGATTCAGCACCAGGAACAGCGCCTGAACCTGCTATCTTACACTCTCCAGTGCCCCAGCACCGATTCAGGACCTCGGAGAGAGGCACGCCGGAGAAGACAGCAGCTGATCTTCATCAGCTATCAAGCAGCCAACAGGCTTAAAGGAGGAACACAGCAGACAGTCAGGGAGAGCCAGGATTAGCCTGTGTTTCTCCCGAGCTCATAGACTCTTGGCTAAAATTAAATTGATGCGGTAAATGTTTAGGGGTTTTTCTATAGGGATCAGGCTTAATTATCCTCTTTTGTAGGATTTCGCTGACAGAGGGTCAGTTTTCTTGTTTTGGTGGTTTTTATCCCCATAGGACTTTTGAGCCGGGGATATTTTGGGTTTAGGTGGTTGTGATTTAGTTAGGCAGAAAGCCTTTTTCATAAGCAGTTAGTCTGCTTATGTTTTCAGTTCCCACCTTTTAATCACCAGTATTACTAAGCCTTATTTGTGCCGTTAGCAGCGGACACCTTTTGTTAATAAACCCTTTTGTTTTTACTCTCACCACCTCGTTATTTGTCCTCACACACACTCCTCCACCTATTTTCCTGTGTTAGTCCCCTCATCCTCCTAGACCTTCAGGAGGGGGGCGTAACAGTGGAGAACTGGAGGCGGTGCACTGTGGGAGGTATGCGTGACAGAGGTGGGAATTCTGGGGTTTGGCTGACGCTGGTGGACCTGTGTTTAGCTAGAGCACGCGGTTAGCTCCTGTTGACAAGTGCAAGGTGATCGCGCTCATGGGCTTTCTGCATGCAGCGGGGGTGCACGATAGGCTGTGAGCTCTGATTTTGTTGTTTAAGGACGGCTGTGGCAGCAACACGCCTCTTGGGCATCCAGCCTGCTTACACGATGAAGAAGAAGTTTTCCTAGCCTTCCTTCACCTCTACAGCCCCGTTTCTACTGAGTCCATTTCACTTGCTTTTGATGCTACCTCTGTTATCTGTGCTGTATTTGCACACTCTGCTCATGCTCCTGACCTTGCTTTGTTTAAAAGAAGGAATTAAAGTGATTTACTTGTCTTGCTTCCTGGATTTCTGCGTTTGGGTCCAAACGTCAACCACACCCTGACTGTTAGAACTGGAGCCTATGATAGCGATTGCATTTTATCCATACGCCCAAATCATGCATTCATGCCGTCCACACCGTGAGATGCAGGGGCGGCGTTAGGCCCGGCTACTTGGGCTGAAGCCCCGGATGTTTCATGAAGAGCCCTGGATCTAAATCGCGAAAGTAACATGCAGTACCAAAGTCCAACAGAGAGGGAGCAGCTGGCAGTAGTTTGTATACAGCCTGCCTGAGCCTCCACCACTGAAGAAGAAGCCCTTCAGCAGCCGGCTTCTTCTACACTCTCTGCCTGAAACGCATGAGTGAAGATGGACATAAGGACATTGTTTAGACAAAAAGTACAACGACAGAACCCCAGCTTTGATGAGACTGGTGTTGACTCAGGTTTGTGAGTCTTATTTGAAAATATTTGTTGTGCTGCTGGTTTGCCTAAAGTTAGCTTATCAGGTAAAGTTGTTGGAGAAAGACAGGGGATATTTACCATCATCTCACACTAAACACTAACAGGAACAATACTCTGCCCTGAAAATGCTTAATATGTAGCTTCAGATTAAAAAATATGTGGTACAAGACATATATGAGTTGACTAGTGCGTGTCACGTGTGTGTGTGTTAAGCCCCGATCTTCTTCAGTCCTAAATCCGCCCCTGGTGAGATGTACAACTTCTAAAAATCAGAGCACACGTTAGATGTGTGGAATATTCTAAAGCTACGTAAATAAACCCAAACCAAACTTAGACGCACAAATGGAAGAATGATGAAAACACCTGTAAAAAATGGGCATAAATGCATCAACACCTTTAATGAAGCAGAGGAACAACGCTAATGAATTTGTTTATCTGCATTTTCTCAACAGACTTCCAACTTAACTCATCTTCATCAGATTATTCTGTAAATAGCTATATGCGTCTGTGTATGTGCTCGCGTTTCAGTGGACAGCAGTGTGTAGGAGGTTTCGCTGACCCTCGGTGTTCCCTTCTCTCCACAACACCTGCTGGGAATCAGGGTTTGTTTCACCAAGGACTGAAAGCAGGCTCAGAGCAGAAATCTATTACACAGATCTCCCAAAGGCGGACAGAAGGGACAGAGGTCCAGACCGCACAAAACCTGCTGGGGAAGCTGTTTCTCCTCGGTGGGAAAGAGTGCTCGTTGTTTTCATTAGCAGGTCCGGCGTGCTCATCATCTTAGGCCCTGTCCACACGTAGCCGAGGATCTGCCAAAACGTAGATATTTTTCTAGGTTTTGGCCTGTCATCCACACGAAAACGGAGTCTTTTCACACGAAAACGGATCTTTTTAAAAACTCCAGCCAAGTGAAGATCTGCGTTTTCTCCGTTTTGGGTGTCTGCGTGTGGACGGACAAAACCGGAGTTTTAAGGTCCGCAGCGTCACTTTCCGCGACAAAAAAATGCTAACATCACGTGTGTGACCTGTGTTTACACTAGCCGACAGCATGGAAGCCCTCAGAGCTGCGCTCGCTTTATCAATTGTCCAAGCGCTTTTTGCTTGTTTGTTTTTGCAAGCGGAATTACTGCTCCTTGCGGAAGACCACAGACGAAGGACGAGGTTAAGAACGGGGGAAGTACTGCCACCCTACAGGTCTGGCATGTCCTTAACAACGTATTTATCCGGGTACGTGTGGACAGAGTTTTGTTTTTAAAACGAGGTGGTGTGGATGCAAGTTTTTGAGGGGCGGATATTCGTTTTAAAAAAACCCGGCTACGTGTGGACTAGGCCTAAGTCTAACCTGGGCAGGATTTAATTCTAATTCCTGCTCGGTTCTTCATGTTTCCGTTCCCTACACCTCTGCGTCTCATTCTCTTTCCTCTGCCACTTTTCTCTTCTGCTTTCTCCTCATGCTGTCACCACCGCAGCAGGAATGTTTGCTAAAGGTTTGGGAGGTAGGGATGGCAGGGAGGTCAGCGGGAAGAGGCTTTGGGGGGAGCGGATGGTGGAAGGATCGGAGGAGTAAACAGCTGCATGGATCTCTGGCAGGATGATGGAAGGCTTAATGGGAGGATTGGCTGACATTTACCTGAGGGAGAACATTTATATTAGTGCCTGATGCTCCCACCTTTGCTGGGAGCTTGGGGCAAACAGGACTGCCATTTACTCAGAGAGGGGGTTGGGTAAGGGGATTACCAAACCATCTAAAACACACACTAATTTACACACACCACATGTGATTTATTATTCAGAGTGCTCCGTTTGTCACCTTGCAGCCATTTTAACTTGTGAGGAGAAAACAGTTTCCTTCAAATAACAAATGTAAATATTCACACGACTAATAGAAAAAGTGCTGAAGGCATCTGCCGTGGTGAAGTCTGCCTTTGTGTGGAAATCAAAAATACTTTATTGCTTAATGCAAGGCTTCTGTCTGACTGATAACCGCTCCAGTTTTAACAGGTTCATGCATTCATTTTATTAACATTTAAATGTGAGTGAATTACTCAGACTTATGGTTATTTATAAGCAGCAGCTGCAGTAAAATGTAGCATTCATCCAGGGTCAACGTCTAGCTGATAATGTTTCTGTAGAAATAACAAAAAAGAACGAACAGGTGACAGTTTACCAAATAACATTCGCATTAAACACAAGGACACTTAAGCCCTTTTCAGATAGACATTCTGGAACATGTGTGGACAATTCAATCCGGTTTTTAACCGGAACTGTGTTTTCAGACACACCACTTTTGTACCGGAACTTGTCCTTTCGGCTGCCTTCACACAGCAGGGAAAAGTTCCGGATGTCTGACGGCGGCGCGCGGGGTGTGTGTGTGTGTGTGTGTGTGTGTGTGGGGGGGGGGGGGGGGGGGGGGAATCAGACTTATGTTAAGAAGAAGTAGAAGAAAATATAATTTCTATAGCGCCTCTCAAGATAAAAATCACGAGGCGCTTAAGCATAATTCTGCGCACACGAAGACGCATAAGAGACCTGGATGATGAAGCTCAATGGTTAAAGGAATCACTGAAGCGGTGTGAAGCGCTCCGTCGCGTGCCTAGACGGTACCGTAGGAGGCGAGCTGCCGTGGTTCGCCGCATGCTACAGCAGCGAGCTATCTAGGTGCCCCTTGTCCGGAACTCTACCTCACCAGTCTGAAGCAGCCACCCTGTCCGTAACAAGTCCGGACCTGTTACTAGGGGCTTCGTCCGGTTAAATTCCGGAACACGTTATCCGGATGTTTGTATTCAGACACGAAGGTCTTACGGACAGAGTCCAGAACATTTCCGTTTTTCATGGCCTGTCTGAAGGGGGCTTTAGAAACCTGGTGGTCTGGTTTGAGCTAATCTGGCCAGAGGTTGTTTAGGAAGCTATCTAAGACCAGGATGTTGCTCATTTACAACTTTGACATTGAAAGCACATCACACTGCCTAGAATGTTTGCTTTGTTCATTTAGTGTGTTCTTGGGATATAAAGGCAGGTTTGATTCTTTGATGTCTACTGAAAAACATTTTCCACCAAAAGCAAATATAAATATATGTCTGAGTCTTAGCTATGTCCTTTCAGCTCCTGCTATCCTTGTCTAATTTGTCTCGGACTGAACTTTAATGCTTGACTGTCCCCGACTAGCCACATCTGATGGTGGAGCGGTGGATCCCTGCGGTTAGACCACAGGTCGAGGACCTCTGTCTGATTCTCCATCAGGCCCTAATGCAGCTGAGTGTTGTTTGTAGCACACATCCCAACACGGCAGCTCATCATGGATCCATGGGCGCCTGTTAGGCTGCTCCTGGTTTAACTGGACCTATTGGATCGCTAACGATAAACTCGGTGCTGAGCAAATGAAACAGAAAAGAATCACAGGAACCATGCATCAGTAGAAGGTGAGGATGAATGGCTTTGATCGGAGTCGCTTATGTGACACTGTTTGTTTACCAATCAACCATAACATTACGACCACTGATGGGTAATTTAAGCTAAGAGGGGGGGGGGGTGTTAGAATATGACCAACATGCAGAAGGACTTATTTTTGTGGCTGATTCGTTTCGCATGCAGCTATTATGGGATATTATTCGTCTGCAATGGCAACCAAACCAGTATATCACTGGGCTGGGATTGCTGGTGACTACAAAAAACACAATAATGCAAGAAAATATAAAACATTTCGATTGAGGCACACACTGTAAGAGCAAAAACGTTGAGACAGTCGTTGTTCTTGTCGCAGTTTAGTTATAAAATATCTTAATTGTGTCTAATTTATCTTCAGTTTGTAATCTGGTTGCCATTTTTTACTAAACCTGATGGAAACCAGACTCAGGAGCAACTGAGATCAGACTGGCTGTAAACTCAGGTGGTCTTAAAGCGAGGTCAGCTGAATGTGACCTGTAGCCAATCAGGAAGCTGAGCGAGAGAGAGAAGCATGTTGCATCGGGTGAGAAGAATCTCCACTTCCACCATGTTGGTTTACTTCATCCATCTTCGTTATATAGTTTATTTCCTGTGTTCACCCCGTTTATTCTTCTGTTCTTTTAAGAATCCGAGTTCACCCTGTCCCGTTTGGATCAGCGCCCTCGGTTTACCTTAGTTTCCTTTTAAATAAACTTTTTTTTTTTTTTTCTTACCTTGATCTCAGTGTGTGATTCTTTCATGTGGGTAAAGAAACTTCCCATCATGACAAAACGTGGATAATGAATTCCGGCACATTGCAAGAGAGACGTGAGAAAGGCAACAAAAATCAGTCTGAGGGGTTTCCTCGGCATCTAAATTTTCCGGACCGGAATCTTATCAAACATCTGTGGGAAGTACTGGAAATACCAAAACGGACTTCTGCTACTGATGTCGGTTACTAAGGTTACCAGGGCTGATCCCCCCCCCCCCCACACACACACACAGAAAGTGGGATGTACCTTGGTCAGTGGGTATGAGGGGGACATCCTTAGCAGCAGGAGACACGCAGAGTATCTGGTTGCCGTTCACTTGCCCCTCGACCTCCGTTAAGTTACCGAAGGAGCAGGTTATACCAGCAGAAAGGTCTGGAACATCAGTCACCTTCACCAGCAGCTGCACAGGAGACAGGGCACATGCTCAGATTAATATGATTTACAGTGATCCCTCGTTTATCGCGGTAGATGCGTTCCAGACCTGGCCGCGATAGGTGAAAATCCGCGAAGTAGGGACACCATATTTACAGTGTTTATTTAACAGGAACGCATTCAGAATTCAGACTTTTACAACTCTCCCTTTACATAGAAAAAAAATGTACTTGTTTTTTTTATAGTTTTATTACAAAAAGTGCATTTTATGATGAAATTGATGAAAAAAAACAGGAATTTCTTGATATTTTGCATAGAAAAATACCGCGAATCAGTGAAAAATACCGCAAATCGGCGAATTTCCCTTGAATAAGGCTCCAAAGAAAAAATCTGCGAAGTCGTGAATCTGCGATAAACGAACCGCGAAGTAGCGAGGGATCACTGTAGTGTCAAATCAACTCACATTTTAAAACGACATCATAATGAAAGTCTGATATGAAGTTCTGAAGAAAACCAAACGAAGCTATCTGAGAGCAGCAGTACAAGCTCCAAACACAAGGACTGAAGGAGCACTGCTGTAGTCAGAGCTGCAGTCGGCTTTGCCAAGAATTGTTTTAGAGCCAGCATGTGGGGGACATGGGACTGAACACAGACTCTACACCCCACATCCAGCTGCAGAAGATGTCCTTCATCAGCCTATGAGTACATTTTTATAAAAGTTCATTCTGCCCTTTGGATTTTGAAGTTTCTCCGAGACAAAATGATATTTCCATAATGCAAAACAACATGAAAATACAGCAGCACAGTGGCAACAGGACCGGACCATTCAGCAGCTCTGATTATAAATACACATCTTGTGCTCAGGGTGTGTGATCTGGCTCTCCAGTCAACAGAAGCTTTCTGAATAATTATCACCATGGCATTTCACAGCTGCGTTCTATTAGCTGTTATTTTTTGGCCGTGGCGTTTGAAGTTTTTCTTTGTTTTATCTGCTTGTTCCTAAACACCGTGGGGCTACTGGGACAGAAAAGGCAGCTGAGCAGCTTAACAGCAGGTCTTTCAGGAGGCGCGACTGTCTCGGCAGCAGACCACGCTGCCTCCCTTGTTAGCCGCCTTCCTCTGATACTCATCCAGTGGAGGGAAGATTCCTCCTTTTCTGCTGAGGACCTCTCGTCTTCCCGTTTTCCTTTCACCCCGTGTTTGGGATGCTTCACTCCGAGGTGTCAGAGAGATCCTTGATTACAGCAATCACAGCAATCAATGTCTTTTGTTCAATTTGGAATTCCCTGAGTAACCTCTCACATTAATTAGCTCTCATCATTGGCAAACACACATATACACATAAACACTCATGCAAACATCCCCACATGAACACACAAAGACAGTATGGCTGCTACATAAAGTAAAGTAGCTCTTGCTGTTCTTCTGCCTTCCTTGATGCTGGTGGTGCTGCTGATGGTGCTGGTGCTTATGGTGGTGCTGGTGGGGCTGCTGGTGCTGGTGCTTATGGTGGTGCTGCTGCTGGTGGTGGTGGTGCTGTTGCTTTTAGTGGCAGTGCTGGTGCTGGTGGTGGTGCTGGTGGTGGTGCTGATGGTGGTGCTGGTGGTGGTGCTGATGGTGCTGGTGCTGCTGCTAGTGGAGGTATTGTTGGTGGTGCTGGTGGTGGTGGTGGTAATGGTCCTACTGCTGCTGCTGGTGGTGGTGGTGCTGTTGCTGCTAGTGGCAGTGCTGGTGTTGGTGGTGGTGCTGATGGTGCTGGTGCTGCTGCTAGTGGTGGTATTGTTGGTGGTGCTGGTGGTGGTGGTGGTAATGGTCCTACTGCTGCTGGTGGTGGTGGTGGTGCTGGTGCTGCTGCTACTGGTGGTATTGTTGGTGCTGCTGCTGGTGGTGGTGGTGCTTATGGTGGTGCTGGTGCTGATGGTGGTGGTGCTGGTGGTGGTATTGTTGGTGGTGCTGGTGCTGCTGTTGGTGGTGGTGCTGCTGCTAGTGGTGGTATTGTTGGTGGTGCTGGCGGTGGTGCTGGTGGTGCTGGTGCTGCTGGTGCCGCTGCTAGTGGTGGTATTGTTGGTGGTGCTGGTGCTGCTGGTGGTGGTGGTAATGGTCCTACTGCTGGTGGTGGTGCTGGTTCTACTGCTGGTGGTGGAGGTGGTGCTGGTGCTACTGCTGGTGCTGGTGGTGCTGCTGCTGATGGTGCTGGTGGTGGTGGTGCTGCTGCTGATGGTGGTGGTGGTGGTGGTGGTGCTGGCGGTGGTGGTGCTGATGGTGCTGCTGGTGCTGCTGCTGGTGGTGCTAGTGCTACTGCTGGTGGTGGTGGTGGTGGTGGTGCTGGTGGTGGTGGTGCTGATGGTGCTGCTGGTGCTGCTGCTGGTGGTGCTAGTGCTACTGCTGGTGGTGGTGGTGGTGGTGGTGCTGGCGGTGGTGGTGGTAATGGTCCTACTGCTGGTGCTGATGGTGCTGCTGGTGCTGCTGCTGGTGGTGCTAGTGCTACTGCTGGCGGTGGTGGTGGTAATGGTCCTACTGCTGGTGGTGGTGCTGCTGCTGGTGGTGCTAGTGCTACTGCTGGTGGTGGTGGTGGTGCTGGCGGTGGTGGTGGTAATGGTCCTACTGCTGGTGGTGGTGGTGCTGCTGGTGGTGGTGGTGGGTGTTTTTGCAGCTTTGCAGCAACCAGCATACTTGGAGATGTTTAGTGAGGGTAAATTAATGGTTTCCTTGTTATTGCTCTCTGTCCTGTTACCCACATGCGCTGTTGTAATGGAGATCACTGGAGTTTGTGAATGGAAAGGTGAGTCAACCTTTTATTTCTTTGTTTAGTTTTTTTTTTTTTTGTTATTTTCAAACAAGGTTAACTAATATTTAATTCACAAAGATAACGAAAGAAAAAAAACAGATGTGGTACGTAAAAAATATATATAAAATTGCATTACCATATAGAACTTTCCAACTTAAATTAAAGTAACTCAAACTAAAATATTCTGAAAAGGAATAGGAAGAGGTATTGCTTATTTCACCTATCCCTCTGGCTACACTTTAGCTCATCATCGCAAACACAATGTGTGTGTGTGTGTGTGTGTGTGTGTGAGTGTGTGTGTGTGTGTGTGTGTGTGTATGTGTGTGTGTGTGTGTGTGTGTGTGTGTGTGTGTGTGTGTGTGTGTGTGTGAGGGTGTGTGTGAATGGGTGATTGTGCTGTAAAGCACCTTGGGGGGGTTCCAGGACTCTAGAAGGTGCTGTATTAAATACAAGCCCTTTACCATACTTTTAAGTTTTGTTCAAGCAAGACGTTGTTTCTAATTTAATTCCCTTCTCAGATTGTATCCCCCTTGTCTTTCTGCAAAGGGGCCATGTTTGCAAATCTTGTTTGCAGACATGGTTGATATGAAAGACGAAGAATAACGTCTGCATGTCACAAATGGATCGTTGTAAAGTAGATAACAGGGTCAAATAAGTGGAACGGAACTAAAAGGCATCTGCAGAACTTTGTTTTCTGTTGCTACTGTTGATTAAGGCTGCCTGATAAACGGAATTTCAACCACAATTACGATCTGGATTTAGAACGATATATATATTTTTAAAATAAGCGGATTATTTTCCCCTCAACCACCCACCCACCCCCTCACTGTTTCCTCTCACCCTCCGAGTTGCAAATCGAGCACACCTCTGACACAGTGTTGCCTACTTAACTTGTCGCTATTTTTAACCATTTTCCAGACTCCCTTCTTCACTTTTTTCCCCTAAAAGCACGTAGCAAACAACCTAGCGACGTTTCTGGTAACCCAAAGCTACTTTCATGTTTAACTTTATCCTTGATATTCTCTGCAGGTTGGCGCAACACTCAGCCTGCGCTCAGGGCCATCCTTCCAGGATTAGGAAAGGGAACGTTGCACGCATGTGAAACATGACAACGACACATTGACCGACCAATCAGCAACACCTCTCTGTGAATCTCACTCACTCACAAAACCAGTTCTAAAAGCTAAATACAGCAAGCCATGTTTTATCAGGGCTGCAAACTCTGGTGGTGGGAGTGAGACATGTATTTGACCGTCTTCCTGTGCTCCCACTCCACAACTCCTATTTCTCACATTGCATCATGCTGATGTACACACTCCTGCAGCAAAGCTGGACAGGACGACATCGTTATTATGCAGCAGGTTGTGGGAATAAATGTCTGCTCGTAAACTACGAACAAGTGTGTTGGCTTTTTGCTCAAAGCATGGACGTAATTTGGGGGGTCAAGTTTTGACCCCTGCACTTTTTACCATCCAGAAACAATATTACACTATATTAAATTGACACTGGTTGAGCTCTAGGACCAAGTGGAAAACAACCGTTTGTGTTGAAGCCTGTTTCCCATTAGAACATACTGTAAAGATACCCCCCCCCCCCCCCCCCCCCCCCGTGTCCCCCCACTTCTAAAGTGACAATTATGTCCATGGCTCAAATAAATGGTAAATGGTAAATGGCCTGTATTTGATATAGCGCCTCCTAGAGTCCTGGAACCCCCCAAGGCGCTTTACAACACAATCAGTCATTCACCCATTCACTCACACATTCAACACTGGTGGAGATGAGCTACGATGTAGCCACAGCTGCCCTGGGGCGCACTGACGGAGGCGAGGCTGCCGAGCACTGGCGCCACCGGTCCCTCCGACCACCACCAGCAGGCAACGTGGGTTAAGTGTCTTGCCCAAGGACACAACGACAGCAACAGACTGAGCGGAGCTTCAACCTGCAACCTTCCGATTACGGGGCGAGCACTTAACTCCTGTGCCACCGTCGCCTCGGATTATGTTTGTGATGATCTTTTTCCTTGTTTGTTGTTTATTATTTTATTTTCCTCTGATTGCGCCCTGTGCTATATTATAACTGAATACATAAGCACATAGAAAAGAAACTCTACGTTACTTAAAGATCGTGATGATCATTTTTGCCATAATCGAGCAGCCCTGCTGCTGATGTACGATGAATAAAAACGTTGTGATCTGTACAGTGAAGCGCAGTTTAGGCTTACTTATGTAACTTCATGTTAA